TCATAATGTAACTCATGTATGTCCCAGGAATATGCATGTACATCACATGAATGTTCCAGGTATATTCTGGGAATATCATTTTGCTATGTGGGTTTTGCTTAGGTGATCACAACCATAATAGCACTGCTGTTCCAACGGAGCAGCCACGGGAGGATTTACAGCCAATATGAGGCGCTAAGCATGGAGCAACTACGTCGAGCCAACAAGCCCATCTTGGCCGAAGTACGCCAACTTTTTGATGCTGGTATTTACCAGTTTGCGGCCTTTCTGGCTGCTGTTGCCCTTGGTTCCATTGGATACTTGCCATTGAATGAGTTCGACTATGAACACAACGTATGGCCGGCCATCCAAGGTAAGCATATTTTTGCATCGATTCTCCAGACTATGAAAGTCCTTGTTTGTTTCACGTCGCAGCCTTGAAGCTGATCGAAGACGGTCCAAAGGCAGTAATCTACACCATAGCGACACTAAATTACCTAGTCATGCCAGGAAAAGGGTGCATTTTACTGCTTTATGGGCTGCACATTATGCATTTGTGCTCCTTGTACTGCGTCTCCAGCATTTTGCTCAGAGGCAAGCTGAAGGGAATAGCGGTCAACCGTCCAGCTGCAGCTGATCTCATGCTGAGCGATCAGGAGTGGGTGACGCAAGAACTGAAGAGCTGCATCAAGCAGGATGTACGCCTCAAGACGTTTTGCTCCGCAATAATTGATCACTTTAAGTGGATTTTGCTGTTCCATGTTGCCCTCGCTGTGATTATTCTGAGTCTTTTGTATTACATCAATCTGTTCGTAAGTGTGTTGATGACGGTTTTAAGCAGCATTCATGGGATTGTTTTCAGCTTAACGGCGGGTACAGTCCGCTTGGAAGCCGCTGCTTTGTTGCCATAGCTAATATTCTTTCATTCACGTACAGCTACAATTCAGAGAATTTCCGGGAGCAGGTAAGTAGGAGGCGCTGTCCGGGCGCTGTTCACCAGGAGCTTGATTTCGGTAGGTGGAGAATATCAGACAAGAAATCTGTAATCTGCCCTGGTACAGTTTCAACAAGTGTAACCAGAAGTTGGTTCATGTTTTCCTCAGCAACATGTTACAGCCTCGCTATCTGTCAGTTGGAGGCCTATTTGATGCCAACCATGAGTTTCTTGTGTTGGTAGGAAATCAATGAAATTCGGACCTTTTCAGCCCCAAATGGTTCATTTCAGGTGATGCACAAGGTGTTCAATGTCCTGACTATATTGTCGAACTTGGACCCAGACCGAGCGGGAAACTAATAGTGTGAAAATGTTCAGAAAAACGGCACTTTGTTGAAAGTAATATAATCAATCGCTAGCAATAAAGACTTTAGATAGACCCCATCTACCAGGAAATGTGGTGGCACCAGGGGAATCCAGCTTTAAATTCAGGGGGGTTATGTAGAAAAAATACAGTCTTCTGTTGTCTATGAAAGGGTAGCGTAAGATTATTGCAAAATTTAATGTTTTTCGTCCCGTTTTGCATGTTTCTGGGAGGCAAAATGAGCAAGAACACTCATTTGTACATCACTCTAGGCAGAAATAAATGGCCTTTTTAGAAAGTAAACCATCGATAAGGAAATGTTGGCAGTTTTTTCCAAAAATGCTTGATTTCAATAAGTGTTAGATTTGCGTGGTTTTTTTTGAGTTGCAAAATCCACTTCAACATGACTGCTTTTTACGAAGTTTCTCAAGAACCATTCGAGCCACAGAATTCGTTTTGGCACCGTTGGATAGAGAATTGAAAACTCCATTCAGTCGTAACAACGTGAGTGAGGAAATTCGAGTAGTTTTGACCCAGAAAGCGAAATATGAATATCTGAACATTTACTGAATGCAGAAGCCGTTTATATAATATTTGAACCTGGGTTTCACATCTGAATGCGAACAAGTCGTTAATAAAGTCGAAAGTCCTCAAAACCATGAATAAAGACGAGTACTTAACCTACCTGAAGCCAGAATCCAAAGGTCGTCGAACTCTCGAACCCCCTCCATCATAGTTATTAGGGGCATGTCAGAAAGGCCGTTCTATCTGTCAGTAGACGTCAGAATTTTCCCGAATTAAAAATTCAGGTTTTCTTGTAAAAACCGCACTACTGGCGCGGAAAATGTGACCGAACGGTAGCCGAGCTTATCAAGTCTGTGCAAATCAGCAATTTTCCGCATGAAAATAGCAAAATTCCGGAATTTTTAAATCTTAAGACAGGGAAACGCGCCCGAACCTCCTACTAACTACTTATCAATAAACTGAGTCGCCGCGGCATCTGTCGGGGATCAGGACACTTTTAAAATCATTTGGGAACTGGGCGTGTCTTCTAACTCGCATTTATTTAATATATTTTTTTTAATTTGTTAAGCTGATTAGGTAGTTAATTTTAATTAATTACGTTTTTATGCACGGTTATTTTAAATTAACAATTTTAATTATTTCAGGAAATAGATTTACTTTAAAACTATGCCGAATAAGCTGTAAGTAGCAAAAATTAGAACCCAAAAATATATGTAATTATTCAAACAGCCAATGGCCTTTGGCAGCGCTGAGCTAAACAAATTATTGCAATTAAATCTTAATTTTAACTATATGGCACCATCGCAAACTCGATGACGCTGTTGCAGTCCGCTGGCAACCCTGCCAAGCGTCAGTCATTTGCGCCATTTTCATTGAAATCGCGGCCTTTCACAGTGTCAACATGGCGGATCAGGTAGGCTTTCCTCAAGATTTCTAGTTTTTCCCAAAAATACTGTTGCTGTATTCCTAATTTCTGTTTTTCCGATACTGTTACTAGTTTCTCTTGCCCATTAATGTATTTTTTACAATAGAACTCCACTAGGTCAGGCCTGCTGGAGGCAGGCAGAATTTCGAGGTTATAAACACGTGGTAGCCCCAATTTCGTTTCCAGCGACTCAATTTCCCTTAATTTTCTAGACTGAACGAGCTTTTCAGCGTCAACCGACGATCTTCTTGAATAAAAAGAAGGGCACGGCCGGCAAGAAGTCGCTCCGCTACCATCGCGAAGTCGGCTTGGGGTTCAAAACCCCACGAGAGGTAATCACTGTGCTGCTTTACTAACATGTGTGTTTATTTCGTTTAGACCGAGCGCGCTTTCCAAAAGCAACCAACCGTATTTAGCAACCCCAAGTTGCAGAGCAAAAAGAAGGTCGTAAGACTGTCGAGGAATGTGGGTCTTGGGTTTAAGACTCCACGGGAGGTAACAGCGATTTTTTTTTAAACAGTTGGGAGGATAATGGTTAATGGTAGCGTTGGTCTGGGAGGCTGGATGTGTTGCTGGTCCAAGGACGGGGTTTTGTAATTAACAAGGGTTGCTTTCGGTTGTAGTATGGGGCCCATCTTTATGCTGCATGAACATTATTTGTTTATATTTCAGAGTCTTGTTTGATGCAGACACTTTTCCACTTGCTGGTCCTCAAGTGGACACCATGGCATTTGTTAACTCGTCTTAAACTGTGGGGAAATTTGTATCTTGTAGCTTTTCAGCGGAATCTCTACAAGTCGACAATTTGCTAATAATCGCCTGGGTGTCGGAAGCATGTTCAGGATAATGTAACCCTAAAAAAAGTGTTTTTGAGTTCAGCTCTTAATTTATTTGAATCTAAACAAAACCAGTTGAAAACCTGAATTCAGGAACATCTTTATGGTCTGTTTAAACTAGTGCTAACTTTTATAAATTTTATTCTATTTCCTACAGGCAATCGAAGGACACTACATCGACAAGAAGTGTCCCTTCACTGGAAACGTCTCAATCCGTGGACGAATCCTGACCGGCGTTGTCCAGAAAATGAAGATGCAGAGAACCATCGTGATTCGTCGCGACTACCTGCACTACATCAGGAAATACAACCGTTTCGAAAAGCGCCACAGGAACATGTCCGTCCATTTGTCCCCCTGTTTCAGGTGAGTTTCCACCAAAGTTTCCCAGGTACACCAGCTAAACGGGGCAATTTTCTTTGATTAGGGACGTGGAAATCGGCGACGTTGTGACGATTGGGGAATGCAGGCCGTTGTCCAAAACAGTGCGATTCAATGTATTGAAAGTCACCAAGGGGAGCAGCTCGAAGAAGAGCTTTAAGAAGTTTTAAATATAATTCTGTTTTTCACATTCCGATAAAGAAAAACGTCTTTATTGAAATGTAAAAGTTAGTATTTATTATGACGTAATACATACTGGCTTAAAACTCGCTCTTTGTTTAATGTTTATTCCCCCAAACTCGTTGGTTTGGGACACCCATAGATGTATTAACAAGTTTTTTCAGTTTATTGATATTCTGGACACCGAATACCCGAGTCCTTGTTCTTTTGCACCCACATCAGTGTAAGTTTGAGGGTGAAAACTAGCAAACGATGTCCAATCTTGATTTATATGGCGGAGTTTGGTAAACTAGAAGAGCAATTAGCGGCTCCGCCACTATGTCCATCTGTTTTTGTATCATTTTTTAATCCCTATGCTTTGCCACTGATTAGATCTTCTCAGAGTAGATAAACTAACGGAGGAAATCCACCAGTTGATCTACAGTTTGGGGAAGAAAATTCCAGAGTCACAAGAGCTGCAGAATACAGAGTCCACTTCCAGAACAGTTGGAGAAAGTCTGGAGCTCAGAGCAAGACGAAACTGAACCCATTCGTAACGGGCAACCGCTCGGGTTCCTTCAAGGCGCCGAAGCAGCCCGCTAAAGGGAAAATGTCCAAGTCGAGCGGGGCCAAATCTGCTTACAGTCCGGCCATTCAAAGTACCTACTGGACAGAGTATGTGAGTAAGTAGATGTTAAAGTTTTCAGGAAGCTTAGTTTGTTTGTGACTCAACACAAGTCCAAATCTGCTAAAATTTTGTGTGGGTTCGGGATTTATGAATTTTTCGAAACCGAAACGATCTGAGATTTAACACATTTATTGCCGGACGTTTCTTCTAACTTGGCGCAAAATTTAAAACTTGAATCCGGTTAAGTTTGTGCGCTGTGAATTTTTAGAGACCGTCAAACATCGGGCAGAATATTCGGAAAAACTAGAAAATGTTGCACCAAGTTCAGTGGTTCTTATTGCTACCCGCACTATTTCTATTCATCGGTTTGTTGTTTCAGTAAAAGTGCAATTCGCGATCGGTTTGATCGCCGTCGCTGAAAACGAGCTGGAATGTTGGGCGCTGATCCCGATAATCCAGCGATGCGCCATCGAGCATAAAGCAGATTCTTCGGCAAATGTTGATTGGTAATTGTGCTCCCCTGGGCCGGAGAGGTCCAATCAACGAACGGGAGAAGTAGCGCGGAAAACGCCACTCCCGAACTTACCGCTGGAGAATAACAATGAGGTAAGATGGGGCTTAAGGATATGGACCGGGGTATGGTACAATTAGGCCGCGGGATGTTTGGGTTAGTTAGTTTAGATCGGTTGCTAATTGGCGCACCGGGCAGCAACATTCAATCGTAAAAACTCATAAAATTTATTAAGATCGCTTACTTACAATAAGGTCGTAATTAGGAACTGGCAAACGTGTACATTCACTTTACAACGACGCTAATCTTGAGGTAGTGATAAGAACTAAATTAACTCTTTATTCAGTGAGATCAGTATTTGCAATGAATCTAACGTTAGTTTCCTTTATTTACAATATTTACAAATTGTATATACTTTCCTGACTGTGTTTCATTTCGAAATCAAATTCATTCCTGGGTTTCAGTCATTTATTGTCTCTCTAAAAATCGAAACGCTTTTTCCCTTATAAGCGGTTCTACGCCACTTATGAATCCTGCAGCATTTTACTGTATTTTTGGTTGTTTTGCGCTTAAAAATTGAACTTGAGTGTTCAAAATTGTCTAGTTTGAAAGGTTTAACAGTCAGCACTTTTCTCTATAAAATACATCTAAAAGTGTCGAAAGTAACTGGCAAACTGAGGCCTGCAGAAACAACCGTTAAGTAGTTGAAATTAAAAAAAAACAGCTTGATGATGGCTGAGAATCGAAACTTTTCCCTCATATAGAACACACTTTGCCCTACCAAATGCATCCAAAAGTGACTATCTAACTTTACTTGTTTTTGAAAACATAAATGCCATACCGAGGCTTCCATTAACAGCCACAAAATTTAATTGCAAATTGCAGACTGCAGGATCAACAGCAAAATTATATTGAAAATTGAAAAAATCTCGAAATTAGCCTGATGATGACTGAAAAT